CCACATTGCTCTCTGTAGTTTGAGTTCAAAACGTAGTAAATAAAAATGTTACCGGAACAGCTCAGGGAACAAATAAAAGTGGAGATTTCCCACAGAAAGAAGGTGATTTTCAGATACGCTTCCGTCGCCATCCCGGGCACCGTGTAGTACAGCACGGTAAAGCACAGCCGGGGAAGGTTACACACCGTTAACAGCACCGAAAGCAACAAAACTATTTTTACCAACAGTCTTTCCCGTTGCGACAGTGCCGTTTTGGAAATTCCCGATTTGTCGTTTAAACTCGCGCGGTTGTTGCGACGTACATTTGATGACGCGGTGAGCGAAACTATCATCCAGATGTTGCAGACGATAAGGGTGATTTGAAAAGCGATGGACAAGCACATGCCGATGACGAAGTCGACGATAATATAGACGATCGTTCTTGCAGATGCGTTTTCTTCAACTGTTGTCCAAAATTTTGAAATTTTCTCGGAACAATTCGAACAATCCTGGCTGATCACTTCGACCCAGTCCATTCTTTGTCCTATAACCACACAAGAATGTAACCCCACAATAACAAAGTAAATCAAAACAATCACAAACACACATCGAGTTCTCGTGAAAATCCGTTTCACGGAAAACGGACACACGACGCAAAAACAGCGTTCAACAGATATCACCGTCGTTATCCAACACGAACACAGGTACAGCGCGTTTCTGGCGCAGCCAAAGACGAAACCTCCAAGATTGTACACGTCTATCTGGCAATCTGGCATCAACGCGTTGGCCAGATAACACAGGCACGAAGCAAGCATGAAAACAGAGAAGGCCAAATCGTTGAGAGACAAGACGAATATCCCCACGCTCATGCTAGACCGCAGGCCGAGTTTAACGAACACGATGGCGCTGATGAGATTGCTGATAGCGCCGAAGATGGCGACGGCACCGGATATGATGAGGTTGAATACCAACTGGAACGTTTTTTGGTCGTAGTCAAACTGCAACGTCACGACGTCTTGAGGGATGACGTCATCGACGTTTGTGAGTGTCGTCACGTCACTTCCGTTCATCTTCCTTATTCAACAACTGGGCTGCGTCTATCTGATTTCAAATTGCGGATAAATTGGTTGCTATAAAAAATTGTCTAATCAATCATGCTAAGTTATTTTAACTAACCTTCAACTCAATCCGATTTCGTTAATTTAGTATAGTTCCTTTTCAAACCAGTCAGTCTATGGGACGAGTGAAGTAGAGTTCACCTTTTTTGTGACCTCGGCATATGATAGTGTAGTCAACAGTATGGTCAACAGCCTTTACTTTTGCTAGTGATAGTCAGGTACCCACCAGAGCTGGATTGACTCAGGGACGTTTACAGACTTGAACCTGGATTCAAACTCAAGCCTTTGGGGATAGCAGTCGTAAGCTCTACCCTTCGACCACGCAGTCATTTTTTTAAAATTAACTTTGACAAAAAGTCGAACTAGTCATTACATAAAACTATACATAATCTTTCAACATTTCTTGTTAACACTATTCTTTACATCGGGTTTTCTACCTAACACATTATAAAGACGAACATTGTAGTAGAACTTTTTAAAATGCCAGCCTTGAATAGATACAGGCATTGAAGTTTTTCTCTACCAAAAAACTATATCTGAAAATGGTACTTGAGTTACCCACAATATCAGGCTATTGTCAATGACGACCAGATATATCTTTCATGCGTCTGATACAATATTATAACAGACTGTCGTTTTATAGCAATACACAATTCACTTTAACACTAAGACAAAAACATGCAAACATTTTATCCAATGAAGTATGTAGACGTGATATAAATTGCGAAAAGTGTCGGAATAAATGACCGTACAAGACTAGTAAAAGTTCGGAGTAGGTTTGAACATTCGGTCAACCGGTTTTTAATACTTCTATACAAGCAATGACGTTGATCGATACTGGATTAGGAGACACCTTTTACATAGAAAATCAAATTATTAAATATTTCTTGAACAACGAACATTTCAAAATGTAGCAGACTACTTTTCATTTAAGGAGATGATTATAGCTGTCTTGGGAAAATAATTTATACAAAGAAGTTGTATATATTTTCGAAGGGATAATTTGCCAATCTATGTAATGGTTAGAGCAGCGATATAATAACAAATTGTTCTCTAAAATATTTTTAGAAAACGATCATTTTACATTGTTTTCAAAATAACAGATATTTTTTTTCATTTTTAGCTAAACAAATGTTACAACACTCATTCACGGTACATCATTTCCTATTTAAATGCAAGTTAACTTAACTCAACCAACATAATTTTAACTGAATAATGAATGCCATTACCATCTCCGTTTCACAAACCCTCAAATTAAGCTTTAAGTAAACACGAACTATCTACACAATTGATTTTTTTTAACATAAATTCGTGCGAAAACCTTAAATTAAGCTTTACGTAAACGACTAACTATCTCCACAATTGATTACTAATATAACCTTCACCTACAATAACAAACTCTTGTCCAGGGGCGTAACTACAGTGCCGCCAGACCCCGCAATGCGGGGGGGGGGGGGGGGGCAAGCCGTTTAGGGGCCCAGAGTCGACCATTAATAAAAAAAATTATAGTTAAAAAAAAAGTAAATTTTCTTTCATTTTTGACTTGATGGTTGTTTTGTAAAAAAAATTACCGTAGCTGCGGTTGGATTATCTTTATTCTATAGACACCACCACACGCTCTTGTATATTCTTTTTCCCTTTGTTTTTAAACCACCGAGAAAGCCGAGTCTTTCTCCTACAATTAAACTTATCACAGATAAGCAAATGTTCAAACCACTTCCATGACTTATTTCCCTTTTTTTAAAAAATAGTCAAATAAGGGTGATCATAAGCTCCTTTTAATAGATTTGTACTAAACAAATTAAAAAGCTATTATTTCTCTTAATTATTATTCTTTTATAAAGTAATTACTAAAGAATGACATTGTATAAAAAGGAGATGTATTAAATCAATAATATTTTTATAATGAATAATATAAATACAAAAAAAAACATAAAAATAAACATAACACGAGACACCATTACTTATACAAAGATTTCATGTTTGATATTATTTTTGACCGACTACATGTTAAAGGCGATTCTATTAAACATTAATTAAAACTGATTTTCACAAAACATATTAATGCACTTACACACATGACATGATGTTAACATTTTTAAATTGATGCTGTTCAAATCCCCGAACTGGCCAGCAATGAGCATCCCATGTTCGTATTTTGTGAATGTATATATATATATATATATATATATATATATATATATATATATATATATATATATATATATATATATATATATATATATATATATATATATGGGGGGGGGGGCCTAAACCATTTTTTTTTGCGGGGTGGCCCATTTTTTCTTGTTCCGCCACTGCTCTTGTCATTATAGTACATTGAACATGCTGTCATTTAATGTCTATTTATTCTTAGTTATTTACAACTCTCCACGAAAATGTATTTACTTATCGCCCATCTATTAAGGTTAAAGATTTTTTACTACATTATATAAAGCACATAAAATATGAGTGTATAATCATAAAACACGTAATATATATATATATATATATATATATATATATATATATATACATATATATATATATATATATATATATATATATATATATATCGTTTATAAATACATACAGACAATATTGAATCAAGTAAAATAGATAAATTCTACAATTAGAGACACAAAGAATTTTTTAATAGACGGTTAAATCGAGTATTGATGTTAGGCCTAGTTAAAGTCAAGATGTGCACTCAGTGTTGGTTTAAAATATATGTCAGGGTAAGTTATTGTTTTGGTCCGATATAAACCTTAGCTTGTCAGACCTCTGTTTGCTCATTATAGCTCGCTGAAGGTATAAATTAAGTGATGGAATACCCCTATAGATATTTAGGTGATCGTGCATATAATGTAAAAAAGAAATCCAAGGGTGAGTTGAAAAAGCCTGGAGAAGACTCACGTATCTAGCGGAGTCAACGGGTCATATTGTGCATTGTGTTGGAGGAAATGCCATTCAATATTGCAAATATTTCAACTGAGAATGAAGGAGTTGGGGGGGGGACGAGTCCACTGAGTAATACACTTTGGGAAACAAAAGAAATCGTTAACTCACGTAACAGTGTGTAGCCTGTAGTTTATAGCGCTTACAAGCGTGTTACATTTCGCATTATCATTCGCTTTCAAACATGTTTTTGTTAAGCAGCCATCTAGTTATCATTCAACTCTATACACTAGTGTGATATTCTATACACTTGTGTTATACAATACTACACATCAATGTAATATAGTAATAAACAACATTGTAATGTAGTAGTAAATACCAATGTGATATAGTTCTGAACACTATTGTAATATAGTGTAACACACCTATCTGATGTAGTTGTAAACACCATTGTAATGTACTAGTAAACACCAATGTGGTGTAGTAGCAAACACCATGTAGTAGTACACACCATTGTAATGTAGTACTACACGACAATGTTATATAGTATGAGTCGCCCCACTGTTATACATGACACCACTGTACTGTATAACCAGACACCATTTCGCACCAATATTAGACAACGCTGTACCATAGTTCGAACTAAAATTTGCTAAAACGCGTAATTTTTTTTTTATAACATCAACACACATGTTTGATTTTATCAACATTTTCAATAGTTCTCGAACATTTCAGGGCGTCCAAGCTAGCTGCATTGATTTTATTCTTCTACCTTAACCTCCACGTCATTAGTCGCAATCAGCATTGATCTGTTCTGTTGCCGTTTAATTAAGATTTAAAACGTACCTTACCCGTTTGCCGTCTATTATATTAGCACATTGCGGTGTGCTGAATGGCAGATAATTGTTTTGGTTGGGGTTAAGGTCAGGTACATATTGCAAGGGGAGGGAGGGGTGGAGGTTGAGGGGGGGGGGGGGCGTTATGCAGTCATGTGACTCGTTGCCAGACGTCTGACCGTCTGTCACGTGATTCAGTAGACGTGTAAAGTTAATTAGCTTAATTAATGTGGGAGAGAAGTCGGAGAAGGTAGGATAAGAATTAATTTAGACAGTATACACTTATCTTTTGTATCCGTGTCTTAAGTCCATACTAAATTCTTGTGTTTATATGATTAATGGTCGAACTGCTTAATACTAATTTCCTGCTGACACTGTTTTACGGCATATGTTTATTTCAATAAGTTATTATTATATCTATTGACAAGTAATGATTTAGGCAAGTGAACATGGCAAGTAAGATATAGCTTGTAAATAATTCAGGAGGGTGAGCTTTTACTATACTGATGTAATATCGTTATTATTATAAAGCCGGGTGATATCGTTACATAGCTTTGTTTATCATGAGACGTTCAAAAATATAGAGCTAGCCAACGAGATAAGCACTTGAAACTTCTAGAGAAATAATCAACAATAGTAGGCTTACTATTCTTTTAAAAAAAATCTTTCTAAAAGTATCAATTTAAAAAATTATCTTAGTTATTTTGCTAGTGCTTTTAATCTGTGTCAATAAGTATCAATAAAAAGGTATGAAGACTTTACCGATCATCCCCCCCCCCCTTCGACATTACCCCCCCCCCCCCCGGGTAAATTATCCCCTTATCAATCCACCCACCCGCAACACCCGTATGTAAACAGGAGGCGTTGTGAAACAGTCTAGGTTAACTATCTAAGTCATAAGTCAGCAGTGCTGTAGGCAAGGGCATTGTTTTTTTCCCTGGAAGGGGGGGGGGGAAGAGGGGCAATTGATATTTTCGAAGGGGGGAGGCGGACTTAATTTTCCGAGGGGTGGGGGAGCGGTCACTGGTAAAAGTATATATTTTCTATATAAATTCCATTTCGTTCGGGAGGGGGGGGGGGCGGTGGGCTTGCTTCGGGCGGAGCTCGCCCCCCCCCCCCCCCCCCGAAGAGGTGCCTGGAAAAAAAACTATGGGCAAGAAGAGCTAGAATGAGGGGGCATAGAACACCCTCAATAAACCCCCAATATGAAAATATTCCTATGCTGCTACATCTATCGGCGCTCGTGTCGCTTTATGTCTACTTTTTCAAAACATTTGAATGGCATATAACGATCCTTTTATGTTCTTAAAACCGTGATGGAATATAAACCCACAATTTGTCATTTCTGTCAACACCACTCATACTGACACTACAAAAGCATATTCTGCTTTGAATAGTATAATATAAAAAAGTATTTTGTATTTTATTTACAGCAAAAAGTTATAGTAAAAGCTGTGCCAGATTTTTACAACTTAAAATATTATGTTTTTTTTTTTGCCTAGAAAGCGTTGAGGGATTTCACCAAAATGGCCGTCGTCTGCGCCCCGTCTGCCGCGGTTCTCCCGGAAGTGGGCGTGTCCCCCGGAAACTCGATGGCCCGTCACCTGCGCTTGATGCATGACGACACGAGCCAGCTGTTTCCCAAGTCGGCGGCGAGTTCAAAACCAAGTCAGCCCAACAAATTCATGTCGGTGTACAAGGTGGATTTCAAGCTTCACCCCCTGCCGAGTTTCTTGTCGAAATCACTTGAGGTAGGTCATAGGTCATTTAATCTGAGGTAGTACAATCTATGGAGGTAGGTCATAGGTCATTCAATCGTAGCAAGTACAACCACTGAATGTATAGGGTAGTTCATTCAATCGCAGGCAGTATAATCATTAAGATAGGCAGTAGTTCTTTTAATCTTAGGTATTTCCAGTGTTTTCAGACCTTTTTTTCCGAGGGAGGTCACTTGATACGTTCAGGAGGGACGGACTAAGTTTTCCGGGGAGGGGGGGGGGGGGGGGGGGAACTGGTAAAGTATATGTTTTCTATATAAATTCCATTTAGTTCGGGAAAACGGAAGACTCCCCCCCCCCCCCCGCGATGAAATGGAATTTATATAGAAAACATATACTTGTATCAGTGTCCGCCCCCCCCCCCCAGCCCGGAAATATCAAGCGCCCTTGGAGAAAAAGTCTGAAAGAAACACTGATTAAATCTTGTCTGGATACACTGTAATCAAGAGGAAATATAATACGTTTAATAAAAGAATAAAAAACAATTTACATGAAGTTGATTTACAGATAATTAAAGATAGATATATAACTTCAATTAAAAAATCGTTGACTTTCTGGTTAAAGAGTAGGGGGTTAAAATAACTGTACACACTAAACCTACTGGCTCTAATTAAAAGTTTTGCTTCACGGTGAAAATATTCTCGACTAAACTGCTTGCAGTACCATGTTAAATAATAACAGCATCTAGACTCTACTTCACCTATAATTTGGACCATTTGTTAGACCTTTCATATGAGGTATTTAATTTAGCTGACGACTGTTCCAACCCTTTAAAGATGGCCTGTTTTTAATAATCAAAATGTTAACTATTACTTAAGCTGAATCTACCAGTCGATTTATTAAACTATCAATAGAGGCTCTAAAATCAATAAAGTTATTGATTTACTAATCTATAACTCCGATCTAGGAGATTAACCCAACCTTTTATCAGCATAGCTGCCAACATGCATATAATGAAGTCAATGGTCCATTATTCCACAAAGGGGGCTACGTCAAGTGGTCCCCTATACATAAAATCAATACCACCCAGTGTATAAAATCTGAAGGAACCCAAAACGGGTATAGAAGGGATTAATTGAGTCCCTATGTGTGGTAGTTCAACCAGGCGCTATTCGTGTTTAGGGTATTTCTATTAGGCGAATGCCAACTCTATTGTTTGGGTGTTTTATTACGGGGTTGGCATTTAAGTCTGTTGTGTAATTTAACACTATCATGTCGTGCTGGATCGATATTGAAGTCGAAGGTTCTCAAATTTTAATCTTGTGAACAACAGATGTGTTGAGAGAGGGTGTCTGGTACATGGGCAACATCAAGGTCAGCTTACTGCCCAGACGTTTCGCCTTGATTTTCAAGGCAAGGCGAAATCAATCGCCTATTAAACCAGTGTTTTCTTCCAGGTATCCCCCCCCCAAGAAAGTCTAGCGCCTCTCCCCCCCCCCCCCCCCCCCCCGGACGAAATGGAAATTTAAATAGAAAATATATACTTTTACCAGTGTCCGTCCACCATCAGCCTGAAAAACTTTGTCCGTCCCCACCCCTACCCCCAAAAATATCAAGTGACCCCCCTCCCCCAGAGAATAACGTCTGGAAATAACACTGCAATGTAATTAGACTATTGAGCGTTTATTCCTTTTTTAAAATTGAAAGTCTGAAACTAGAGTTATTTACGTACTAGGAATTTACTGTTTACTATATGTAAGGGGGGGGGGGGTTACTGTCGTGGTGTTTTTAATTTTGCATTTCATCAAGAGTAATGGGGTAGAGAGCTAGGTTGACAATCCGAAAGTCTCGAGTTCAAGTCAGTAGAACGTCCCTGAGTCCACCCAGCTCCGATGGGTACCTAACTCAAGTTATGGAAAGTAAAGACGGCTGGGCATAGTGCTGACCACACTATCCCTTCATATGCCGATGTCCCTGAAACAGATAAACTCTACTCCATCTGCCCCATGTGCCTTGGGCACAAACGGGAAAAGATGATAAAATATAACATATGCAAGTAGTTCTCGACAGTGTTTCTTCCAGACTTTTTTCTCCGGGGGGGGGGGGGGCACTTGAAATTTTCGGGGGGGGGGGGGGGGGGGGGGGGGGCGGACACTGTTAAAAGTATATATTTTCTATATAAATTATATAAATTTTATTTCGTTCGGGGGGGGGGGGGGGGGCGGTAAAATTTTTCGGGGGGGGGGGGAGAAGAGATGCCTGGAAGAAACTCTGGTTCTCGAGGTTTATAGTAACTCGTATTTACTGTAATAAACCTCCCTGCTGCTCATAAAATGAAGTATTTATTGGTCCGCCCTAATAAACCAAGCCATAAAATGTTGATTCAATGTTGAAACCTCTTTACATTGTAGTACAAAGTCACGTTGGACACACACACAAACACACACAAACATTCACACACACACGCACGCACCCCCACCCACACACACACACACACACATACGCAAACACACGCACACGCACACAAAAATGCAATCACGCACAAACGCATGCCCACACACACACACGCATACACGTTTACACACACACGCATAAGGCGCAAACAGAGGAAATCAAATGTGTTGTACGGAAAATCATACAACACATTTCTACGTGTTTCATGATAAAGCACACAAATCATACATCGTATATGTCGTATCATTACGCACACAACACATTGTATAAATCTTCATCCGATTTAGCACACAAACATATATATTACTACGATTAAGCATACAACACATCGGGTCTACGACACAAATCCGGGGGAACGGGGGGGGGGGGGGGGAGGGTCTGTCTGACATTTGTCGTATTCGGGTAAATGTTCTTTCAGGCGCTTATCGCATTCGGGCTTTTGTCCTTTCGGTAATCCGTCCGGCTCCCCCAAATATTGTAGGCCTATATGTAGTATCAATCACACAAATAAAACATCGTATGTGTTGCACGATTAAGCACACACACTAGAACATTTAAGCACACGTACAACGAATGTGTTTGCGATTAATCTCACAAACAACATATTGTATGTAGGCCTACCATTCCAGCCTTAAGACAACATTTACATTTTGTGGCTACTCTAATTAATTAGTACACCAGATCTGCTTGAATTCTTCTCTACATCATCTGTTTATATTGTTTTAGGTAGAGAAACCCAAGAGACTGACCATTAGAGATGTCCTTTTCGGCAACAGTCCATCAGATGTAAGCAATAACATTTTTTTAATAATTTTGTATTTTTTCTACTTGGATTTTAGAATTTGTGTACAATCTATTTCTAATCTTGATTATTTTGAGTATTTTTCTCCACTTTTTAAACTTTCTTTTTGTTTAGTAGGTCTACTGTTTGTTAAGTAAGTGTTTGTATATAATTTTTTTATTATGGTGTTAACTTTATTCAAAGTCGCGTATATTTATAGTGTTTACAGTTGTTAATCGTCATTGTAAGAATACCCCTCATCAGTGTAAAGAACACAACTCACATTAATGGTATAACACCCCTCACAATAGTGTAAGAACATCCCATACACCAGTGTGAGAACACCCATCACATAAGTGGTATAAAACCCATCACACCAGTTTGAGAACACCCCACATCGGTGTAAGAACACCCTTCATATCAGTGTGAGAACACCCCTCACATCGATGCAAGTACACCCTTTACAACAGTGTAAGAACACCCCTCACACCAATGTAAGAACACCCCCACATAGTGTGTGAACACCCCCACATAGTGTCAGAACACCCCTCACATCAGTGTAAAAACACCTTCACTTCAGAGTATTGACACCCTCAGACAAGTATAAGATCCCCCCTCACATCAGTGTAAGAACACCCCACACACCAGTGTGAGAACACCCCTCACACCAATGTAAGAACACCCCACACATAGTGTGAGATTACCCCCCACATAGTGTGAGAACACCCCTCACACCAATGTAAGAACACCTCTAACGCCAATATAAGAACACCCTTCCCACCAATGTGAGAACACCCCTCACACCAATGTGAGAACACCCCTATTTGACAGTGAAATCGCTTATGTGATCGAGTATCACATCCGACTATTGATTTTTTAAATTGATTTTTTTGTTCGATCTCGCTTACGAAATTCAGTCCACAAAATTTTTTGAAGCTACTCGCAGCTAAATGAATTTTCGTCCACTCACATTTTGTGGTACAAAGGGATTCAGTAAGTACCAAAGTCGTGTATAATAGGCGAGTGACGGTAGGCTGGTTAAGTAATTGTGTAGTAGACATGACTGACTAGAAGTAGTAAGGTTATAGAGTACTATGTAAATAGAAGTACTAGTATGACATTTTAGTAGGAAGGTGCATTTAGAAGTACTAAAGTGATATAGTACTAGTTAAATAAGTAATAATTTGACATTGTAATAGGTAAGTAGAAGTATTAACTAAATCGTGTCAAATAAAACGGTAAACGCACTAATTTGATACGTACTTAGTAAGAAGTACTTGAGGTTACTTTGTACTAATTATGATTACGTACTAACGAGACATTGTGCTATGTGTTAGTAGAATTAATAGTAACATCTTTTTGTACTTTTCTAATACCACTACTTTTTAAAATTATTTTTTCCTTATTTCATACATGTTTTTTTTTAAACAATAATGTTCCGATTCATCAACATCTTGTATCTAAATGTACACATAATATGAGAAATATTTTATTAGCACTTTATTTTATTTTCACAGGCGCTAAAGCTTTGGAAAATCCCTGATAGATTTACCCAGTCCGCTAGTAAGTTTTTGTGTATGTTGAGGGGTGAGATGTATTGCTACTGTGGTTAGGCTTTAGCTATAGTCTGTCTTAGCTTCATTTTGTAGAGAATATGTTTTGTGAACAGGAGCTGTTTTAGTCGTAAAAATATTTAAGTGTTCATCGTGTATGAGGTATTCACAAAGTCTATCCATGTTATCTAACGTAAGACACGTACGTAAAATACGGTAAAATACCCATTTGAGGGCTTAAAGTTACCTTTTCAGACCTTGCGATACGTGGGGCAGATGAAGTAAAGTCACCTTGTTTCTTTGACCTTGTCATATGAAATGATTGTGGCCAGCACTATTGGTTAGCCAAATTTTATTTTCATTAGATCAGGTACACATAAAAGCTAGGTGGACTCAGTGACTCCAAACAGATTCGATCTCGAGATCCGAACTCATGTTAGCAGTCTACCGCTATACCATCCGACCATTTTATTCGACTGTTCATTATGTGAATGCAATTTACAAAATTAACCTATTATTTTTATTTTATTTTTTATATTTTGCTTTAATTAAAGGAACAGAAGAAAAGAAAACAAAAGCCTTCGAATCTAAAGAGGTTCAAGTTGACAGTAGGCCAACACTCCAACGCCAGACATCTTGTAAGTGGCTTATTAATACTTTAATCATAATTAGATTCATTTAATTCCCCCATCTACATGGCATGAGTATTTTTTGAAGACCAATGACGTTATTATTATTACCTATTCGGGATATTCCTGCTACTACTGTCCGAAAATGAATTCTTTCTAATAAAGGCGTTCAGTTGTAAGTAGTAAAGAAATATCACAGAGGCGTAGCGAGGGGGGTACATATGTACCCGGGTGCCGACCTTAGGAGGCGCCAAACTGGGTTGGAAAAACAAATTAAAATGACATTTTAACTGCATTGAAGGGGGGGGGGGTGCAAATCGAAAGTTTGCTCCCGAGAGGGGGGGGGGGGGGTGAGCGCCAAATTAAAAGTTTGTCCCCGGGCGCCGGGAAGGGTCGCTACGCCTCGGAAATATCAGTTTCAAGGTTAGGGCTAATTAAGGATATAATTAGATATTTCGTACACAATGATTATTTATTGCGAATACCGAGTTTCTAACCATGGATATTGATGACACGTCTATGTCAATGTCTTGATGATGAAAAACATATTAATAGCCCATAACTCAGTTAAGAGGAAAAACGGGTTCAAAACACATATTAATAGCCCATTACTTAGTTAAGAGGAAAAACGGGTTCAAAACACTAGCATACAAATATCAGCGATCCCATTAGTTTTCATACGGTTTGATCACAATAACAAAAGACCTTTGTGATAGAGTACCTGAGATACCTTAGAATCTATAACCTAGGACCTTGCCCAGCGCCCAGGCCTAATCCTCAATTAAGTGGTATTCAACATATGGGTATCAGTGTTTCTTTCAGACGTTTTTCTCCGGGGTTAGGGGGGAGGGGTACTGGACATTTTCTGGAGGGGGCGGATACAAATAAAATGTATATCTATATATATGATTCTCTTCTGGGAGACGCTAGAAAACAAGCTGTAAACGCGCTCACTACCATCCCCACCCCTACATGGTCTGGTGAGCTGTGGTTCACTCTAAATGTTTACAAACAGAGCCGGGTTTATTGATGTATATTAGGGGCAGATCATTTAGTTTTAAACTATTTTAAACGTAGGGGGGGGTAACTAAGTGGAGTTTACTTTAACGGAGGGGGGGGGGGGGGGAAGGAGGGGGGTTATCGTCCTTAACGAGCTACTTATAGTGTTTTAAAGAAATATTTTCAGTGGCAGCGTTGGTAGTGTTGAATTCACAAATTATGAATAACTGAAAAGTAGAAAAAACAACAACTAAATAGCGGCGTATGATATACCGCGGGTCGGCTCGTTTTCTATATAAACTATATGTTTTTTTTCCTATTTGGTCCGAATGTGGGAAAGGGGGAAGGGGGTCGGAAGTATTCCGGGGAGTGTGTGTTTGGAGCAGAGGGAAGGTAGTGCACTCCCCTCCTTAGAGATACCTAAAAGAAACAGTGAAGGGTACTCCAAGTAATACAAACGCTTTTATTTATTCCACAGTGCCAGCCATAGCATTGTCTTCGCCCAAGGGGGAGAACTCTAAACACGTGACTTCGGCTCCGCCAATCAGATTTAAGGTGACCGTCGACGAGAAAGCTGCGATAAATAAGGTCAGATATCAAGTTGAAAGGTCATAAAAATAAATATCTTGGTTAATCAAGTGCCTACAGTGGGTGTCAGGAAAAAAGAAAGTTTTAAATTTAATTCTAGAAATTATGAAAACAGAGTGCATTTTGGTGAAATAAACAATCGCCATAAAAATAGACAATATTCCTATTCTACAGCAGGAGGGTTTACAACTAGGAGTGTTTCTTTCAGACATCCCCCCCCCCCACCGAACGAAATAGAATTTTAATAGAAAATATATACTTTTACTAGTGTCGCCCCCCCCCCCCCCAGATTATTTAGTCCGCCCTCGTAAATTTCAAGTGTCCCCCCCCCCCTTCCGGAGAAAAAAGTCTGAAAGAAATACTGGCTGGGGTGGGGGCATCGTAATTTTGTGACGAAGTGCGAGGAAGAAATTGAGGAAGATAAAGCAAGTATTAGGTCAAACTAAAACTTTAATTATAAACTGCACTGTACCAGCTACAAATCCTTTTTCTAAAACGTATTTCAGACGCCGGCACAAATCCCAGCTACAGAACATCGTGCACCGAGTGGGTCCTGTCGGAAGGAGACAAGTGCCGGAACAGCAGGGAAGGTCAGGAACAGCAGACGGCAGCTGTACAGCGTCATCAGGGCCTCGCTGTTTCCGGACGTCAGGAGAAGGTTGGAGAAGTGGCTGGAGACTGCTAGTGACACAGGTAGAGGGTTGGGTTCACAGGTAGATGGTTGGGTTTACAGGTAGATGGTTGGGTGTGCAGGTAGATGGTTGGGTTTACAGGTAGATGGTTGGGTTTACAGGTAGATGGTTGGGTTTACAGGTAGAGGGTTGGGTTTACAGGTAGATGGTTGGGTTCACAGGTAGAGGGTTGGAGAAGTGGCTGGAGACTGCTAGTGACACAGGTAGAGGGTTGGGTTCACAGGTAGATGGTTGGGTTTACAGGTAGAGGGTTGGAGAAGTGGCTGGAGACTGCTAGTGACACAGGTAGAGGGTTGGGTTTACAGGTAGAGGGTTGGGTTTACAGGTAGATGGTTGGGTTTACAGGTAGAGGGTTGGAGAAGTGGCTGGAGACTGCTAGTGACACAGGTAGAGGGTTGGGTTTACAGGTAGAGGGTTGGGTTTACAGGTAGATGGTTGGGTTTACAGGTAGATGGTTGGGTTTACAGGTAGATGGTTGGGTTTACAGGTAGAGGGTTGGAGAAGTGGCTGGAGACTGCTAGTGACACAGGTAGAGGGTTGGGTTTACAGGTAGATGGTTGGGTTTACAGGTAGATGGTTGGGTTTACAGGTAGATGGTTGGGTTTACAGGTAGATGGTTGGGTTTACAGGTAGAGGGTTGGGTTTACAGGTAGATGGTTGGGTTCACAGGTAGAGGGTTGGAGAAGTGGCTGGAGACTGCTAGTGACACAGGTAGAGGGTTGGGTTCACAGGTAGATGGTTGGGTTTACAGGTAGAGGGTTGGAGAAGTGGCTGGAGACTGCTAGTGACACAGGTAGAGGGTTGGGTTTACAGGTAGAGGGTTGGGTTTACAAGTAGATGGTTGGGTTTACAGGTAGAGGGTTGGAGAAGTGGCTGGAGACTGCTAGTGACACAGGTAGAGGGTTGGGTTTACAGGTAGAGGGTTGGGTTTACAGGTAGATGGTTGGGTTTACAGGTAGATGGTTGGGTTTACAGGTAGATGGTTGGGTTTACAGGTAGAGGGTTGGAGAAGTGGCTGGAGACTGCTAGTGACACAGGTAGAGGGTTGGGTTTACAGGTAGATGGTTGGGTTTACAGGTAGATGGTTGGGTTTACAGGTAGATGGTTGGGTTTACAGGTAGATGGTTGGGTTTACAGGTAGATGGTTGGGTTCACAGGTAGATGGTTGGGTTTACAGGTAGATGGTTGGGTTCACAGGTAGAGGGTTGGGTTTACAGATAGATGGTTGGAGAAGTGGCTGGAGACTGCTAGTGACACAGGTATATATATATATATATATATATATATATATATATATATATATATATATATATATATATATATATATATATATATATATATATATATATATATATATATATATATATATATATATATATATATATATATATATATATATATATACATGGTCTATATGAGTTTTATGCATATGCTGATATATATATATATATATATATATATATATATATATATATATACAAGTATATATTTATACATATTTCCTATCGTTAGAGTGCCAAGTCGCTTTTGACTTCTTTAACTCAATGGCTGGAACTAAACAGATGGGATCTACTAGGGAGGAACAGAGGAAGAAACTGAAAGAGGTCATCCACACTTTGGAGAAGTAAGGGATCTTCGTTAGTTACGTTGGGCGCGTAGAGAGCTGCTAACTCGCACGTCTCGAGTTTGAATCAAGTTTCCTATCAGAAGAACGCCCGCTGAGTTTTGGGAAACAAAGGCGGCAGACTCAGAGGCGTAGCGACCCTTCCCGGCGCCCGGGGACAAACTTTTGATTTCTTTTTCATTTACCCACCCCCCCTCAAACTTTTGATTTGCACCCCCCCCCCCTCGAACTTTTCATGTACACCCCCCCCCCCTCAAACTTTCAATTTGGCGCCCCCCCCTAAGGTCGGCGCCCGGGGACATATGTCCCCCCCCCCCGCCCCCCCCCCTCCCTCGCTACGCCTCTGGGCTGACTCTACTTCTTCTATCACATGTCTTGGGCACAAACGGGAAAAGATGAAAAGATGATAGTTAAGTTATATGTTTGGTGTTAGGGATGAGACATAACAGTGTCACTTCTGGTTGTTTGTGTAAAGAGACGACACCGATAATGTTGTTTTTTTTGGAACATCTTTTAGACTTGTAAAGCAAGTGAAATTTACATGATAAATACGGCAACATGTGTATCTCATTTATAATATTTCTAAAAATAATGTTGTAGAAGTCCTCCATTTAAAAAACTGAAAGATATCGAACTAATCTTGTCTTTAGGAGCAAGCCTCCAAGCAAAACAAAAGTAGAAAGCGATGAGCCTAATGTTCAAGGGAAGGAAACGAAGCTCAAGTTTATAAACCTGCTGGAACCGGAAGTAAGGGCAAACAGATGGATGCACACGACATGGCATCACATGCCGGGTGAGTAGGTTAAAAAATCATACAACATGAGTAGGTTTAAAGATCATACAACATGGCATCACATACCGGGTGAGTAGGTTTAAAGATCATACATGTCATCACTTGCGGGTTGAGTAGGTTTGAAGATCATACAAAATGGCATCACATGCCAGGTGAGTAGGTTTAAAGATCATACAACATGCCGGGTGAGTAGGTTTAAAGATCATACAACACGACATCACATACCGGGTGAGTAGGTTTGAAGATCTTACAACATGGCATCATATGCCGGGTGAGTAGAGTTACAACCAGGCGCGCCCAAAGAATGAGTAACTCTGGGGGGAAATTTTAAATGGTGTAAAGAATCCTCTTTAGATTTAGAGATCTCTTTGGCAGATAAAGTAGAGTTCATATGTTTCTTGACCTCGGCATATGAAGGGAAGGTGTGGTCAGCACTACGCCCATCCGTATTTACTTTCCCTAACATGAGTTAAGTACCCTTCAGAGCTGGGTGAACTCTGTGAAGTTTTACTGATGTAACACATATGGTTACCAGCCAAGGGGGATAAAAATATGAAGTTTTAATTCATTGAGTTGCGGCCCCTGTAGTTGTTAACACGTTTTTCTTAACTCAGCTTCGCGTTTGTGGATTTGTTTGTTTGTTGTTAAAATTGACATCGAAAATTAGCCCACTTCTGATTGCTCTACAGATCTGAAATTTGGCATGCATGCTACTTTCGCCTAACAATTTCAGATGCAATCATAAAAACTAGCAATTACAGACCGTAATTAGCTTAATTTAATTACGCCCCAAGGACCATAAAATCGAGGACATGATTTCTAAAGATACCGACAAGACTGGAGGCCTATTGCCACAGTTACTTCGGCCCCAATCGATGTGAGCGCGCTGGCCTTGATCGTATAGCGGTTAGTACTTCGCGTTGTGGCCGCGACAACCCAGGTTCGAATCCTGGTCGCTCAAGATTTTTAGTCCGTGTATTTATAAACACTTAGTCAAGTCATACTTAATCAAGTCATTACATAAAGTAGAAAAGAAACTATATAAAAAACTTTTTTAAAAACCACGTTTTTCATGTGTAGCAACGGACTAAAAAGGAGAAAATAAAATACTTAAAAAAAACTTTTTAAAAAACCACGTTTTTCATGTGTAGCAACGGACTAAAAAGGAGAAAATAAAATACTTAAAAAAAACTTTTTAAAAAACCACGTTTTTCTTGTGGACTAAAAAGTAGAAAATAAATTTTCATACATTTGATGACAAAAAACGTGGGTCGGGCAGATGGGTCGGGAAATTTGATGGTGAACGTACCCACGTTTTTTGTCATCAAATGTATGAAAATTTATTTTCTACTTTTTAGTCCACAAGAAAAACGTGGTTTTTTAAAAAGTTTTTTTTTTTCATGCTCTTGTGAGCGATGTTACCTGTGTCCCATGTCATGTGACATGGGACTGTGGGTAGTTTCATGCCTAGCGTGTCAGTCACACGCAAGGCTGCTGTCTGTGGACACGGTGACCAAGATGTAGACCTAATGAAGGTAGTTATATAGATTATGTTTTTTAAAATACTTATTTGTGTATTCCTGCTAGTGCTGCATGTGCACACTAGTTAGGGGCTACAGTTTTCTTCTTGGCTAGTTTGTTTTGTACTACTGTGTTGCATCGCCGTCATGGCTCGATGCTGTAAATAAAGCGAGTACTTGACAACAACTGTCGGGGTCAGCCCGTCTTAACCACAACACCTCAGTGGGTAAAAGCATCCCCACTGAGTGAGGGTTACACTGACTTGGACAAGGATTCAAACTCGAGACTTGAGGGTTAGGATCCTAGCGCTCTTACGTCACGCCGTCCCGTTACTGTTTCTTTTATTTCTCTTAGTGCCACATAGTGATTGTTTTAAGTCATAAATTATCCACGAAATGTAATTAAGAATGATCTTAAAATCTTGGTTATCTCCCTCACAGAATACACGGACAACAACCCAGGTAACAACTGGAAGTCTCACTACACCCGCCCCCACGCTCCAGTACCACGGCACTTCGTCCTTCACCCTGACTGGTGCTAGCCACTTACACTCTTTGTACTCAGTACAACAGTAAGTTGATTTTAATGTGTGCTTTAATTAAAAACAAATCCAGACAAAAATTTGCGCAACAAAAAGTTATACACACAGAAGCAAGGTTAGGATTTTTAAAATTCGGTATTTAAAAGATTTTAGGAAAGAATGATCAAATATAAATTGTGGCATAAGAAAATATCTTACCACAAAATATGAGATAACATGACGAAATGAAACTGTATTGAGTTCATATTTGCGCAATTTCCGATTAAGTTTTTTTTTTTCCTTTGTGGATTTTTCTGAAAAGCTTTTTTTACGTGAAATATTGCAAGTGAAAAAAAGAATTCATTTAGCTAATTTGTTTTTTTAATTACTAAAATTTCAGTTCACTGCACCAAATGTTATCCAATGTTCTTTTAAATTTAAGTTTCTTATGTCCCATTTATTTATCCAATAGGTGTCATTTTATGTGTGTGCTTTTATTTATTGTATTTCTTGATGCTGCATTAATCAAATGCTTTATCTATTACAGGACAAGTGTGAATGTACACAATCCTTGGCTAAAACAAGTGGACTTATATTTACTATATTGAATATAACAAATATGAAGCTACTGTACTTTTCTGCTGTACTTAAAAACCATTCACAATTTTCTTGTATTTTAAGTGTAAAAATATCTTGTTGATGGAATCAGTATTAAAAAACATTTTTGTAACGACTACCTGTACTTCTAAGACTCTTCAATTAAATGTGTAGTGCACAAATCTCCGCATGAACATAAACTTGCAAAAACCTCCATGAAAAGCCTGTACACTACGGGACAACTCGGGATATTATAGACAAGATTTTACTATCAATTTTTAATTACTTAGACTTTTAAAAATATAATAGAAATAGAATCTCGTAGGAAAAAATGCGCACCAAACAAACAGCAAACTGTATATTAATAGTGTGGAAAGAAGACCTTCATTAATTTTCAAAGAGTTAATTAAGCAGCTGTTAAATTTAAGTAACATTTTATGTCACATTACATTGTCGTAGAGTCTTGACTTAAGTGAAAAGTTTAAAATAACTCTGTCCGGTAGAAGTGTTCGAAATTTTGATCGCAAAGTTCGGGCCATGGTGGACGATACACAGAGGAATCAAGTTAAAAGATAATATGCGATTTTTGAGACTTCGGAAATAGCGTAAAGTACTGTCCCCCGGAAATTACCCAAAATTTGAAAGAAAACAGAAAATCAGTTATTTTACTTATATGTTAAATGTCATTTATCTATCAGAAACAGTACTCAAGTTATAGGCTTTTGAAAAAAACAAAGGAGAATAAGTTCCACTTCCGGTTACCGGAAATCTCTGAAAAGTTGAAACAGATCTAGAAATTTAATGTAATACTTAAATATGAAACATCGTCATCCTAGCTGTAACGCTACTCAAGTTATCGCTACTCAAGTTATCGTGTTGACAGACATAGGTAAATGTCCGCACCCCCCACCCCCCCACCAAATGGCAACATTATTCTACAACGTTAATGGACATTACCAAAACATATTTACTACCATCAAACAAAATTAAATCAAGCAAACAGCACAGGGAATGGAACACTATAAAGGGCACAGTACCAGCGTCATTATTGTAACCCCACAATACACTAACTAACATCGTGTTCAAGAACCAACCCATCCGTTATATTGTGTTTATGAATATATTTGACATCACATACATAATCTTTTAACATCAAAACAAAAACACTAAATATCGTGTGTGATTATAAAATTATTATTATCGATCAAAACATTTGTAATATTATACTGAGTAAATAATTAAAGTTTTAAAAATAATTATATAATGCCCTGTATAATGAACATATAGAGAAAAATTTAATATATTTGATAAAAGGGTTATAATATAACACTTCACAGTAAAGAATTAATTGACAACATTGTAAGTCAGTAAATGCACACCCTGATGAACTATTTATAATGCTATAACAGATTTGCTTTTAGTTTATTTTAGAAAACAAGGAACTACTGTTTGTGTGGACAATAATTTTATAGTCATATATGCCACTCTCATATTATAGGCACATTGCTGTAAAGAATTGACAATTTGTAAATCTGTAAATCTGTAAATGCATACTCTGCACGTTATTTATAATAATAAAACAGATTGGCATTTAGTTTATTTTAGAAAACATGGGATGGAATTTGTGTAAACACTCATCTAAGATTCACATACCCTGCTTTCAAGGATTATAATAAAGACACATTGCTGTAAAGAATTGACAAAACTGTAAATGCACGCACTGATCTACTATTTATAATGCTTATGATCACACATCTTAGAGTCACATAGGCTGTGCTCATGCTCTAGCTCAAGTTTCCACCTAGCTCTAATGAGTCTAGGCTTTACTTAAGACAGAGCGATCAGCTGACTGATCGAAACAAAACCCAATAGGTTAAAATCACATAACAGATCTGTCATTGTAAGGTTTGAAAGTATAGGGGCAATATGGCAAATAACATGTTGACAAGTTATACTTAACTGTTTTAGATCAGTGGTTTTTAACCTTTTTGGGGGTATCAAACCCTACAAGTTTCATATGTGCATTCACAGAACCCTTTTTAAGAGTTATAAAGTCTGCACTGATGAAATTCAATCATGGATCATATGAGCCAGGTGTGTTTCTTGACACTGCCAAAACCCCTGAGACTGACTTACCAAACACCTAGGGTTTGATAGAACCCAGGTTAAGAACAACTGTTAGAGTAAATCCTCTCTATATATTACTATAAAGGCCGAAGAAAGAAAGTTTATTAGACTTTTCTAAGAAAGAAAAAAAAAATTAAGTACTATTCCCTTTCAGTTCGAAAAGTCTATTTGTCGGGTGAGAGTTTGTTTCTCAGACCTGAGCATATGAAAAGGAGAGTGTGGTCCACACTATATCCAGCCAAGTTTACATTTCCTAACTTTAATGTAACTGAGACATCATAAGAACTCAGGCCTAAGATGAGCTTTAGATTTTCTGATTAGTAATTATCCATTACAGCACAACCATTTCATATTTGTGGAGGGGAGGGGGATAGATTTCATTGAATTATTTTACATGAAACAAAAAATAAAGAGGCCCACTCAAAACAGTATACTAGAGAGGAAAAGCTAAAGCCCTTTTCTCCTCAAAAGCTTTACAAGAATAATAATGGACATAAAAAAATCAATATTGTAACACTGACCAAACCTAATACAATATAATTTGTACAATACATCTTTTTAAAGTTTATAAATATCAATGTTTTAAAAAGTATAAGTATGTTGATGACTTTTAAAACAAAAACATTAAACGTTTTTAAAATTTCCCATTAAATCTTATATAGCTGACATAATAAGGTATAGCAATGTCTTGTGCAAAATTCTAAATAGGGTTATTAAAAAACCAAATACTTTCTAAAAATAATAACAAAATTCCTTAAGAAAATTGTTGAATTATTGTATTCTAGATCTTTTTCCAATAATAATACTGAAGATAATAAAGAAATATATTGAGCTTGTATATTTAAAAAAATATATATATTACCACATATTTATGACAAATAGTACGAGGCAGTGAAAAAAAACACCACTATAGCATGTTTCCTTTTAAAATTAAGTAATTTTTTTTTATATTTTGAGCACTTTTTCTATTTGTATGTAAAAAGCAACAACCACTAAATTAATTTTTTTTTTTCTGATTGATAATTTCTGCATAGTGTTCTTATTGTGATATCATTGCTGTTTATCATATTCAAGGTTTATTTCAGACATTTTTCACTGGGGGGAATCACTGGTTAAAAATTATATTGACTGTATAGAGGACAAATGCAGGTTTAAATAACATAATCTAGATAAAAATGGCTTTATAAATCTCATTCTCATATTCAAGTAGTGCAAAAATATAATCTTATAATGATTTAAAAATATTTAAATATAAATTTTTCTGACATTTTACTCAAATGCTCTGGTATTATTGACAATGCAGATTAATTTCACACAAAAATTGGATGTATTGCATTTGTCCTCTATGCAGTTGATATTTGCTAAATAGATTATATAGGTTTTCTAGAGGCCATGTTAGCCCACACCTGTACATTACAACCTGAGCTTGGGACCAGACCAGGCAGGCTAGGCTAACAGGTGAGTGAAGGTTCCTTTCTCTGTAGGCTGGAGCCTGGAACACAGGGAAAGGAATTCAAACTTGATTATTTTATGTGGTGTTGTGTATTATTTTATTTATGCTGTTGGACAGGTATACACTAGACATATCAGATAGTCACTCATACATTCAGTCAATCATACATTCAGTCAAACTCTCAGTCATACATTTAGTCAGTCAAACTCTCAGTCATACATTCTGTCAGTCAAACTCTCAGTCATACATTCTGTCAGTCAAACTCTCAGTCATACATTCTGTCAGTCAAACTCTCAGTCATACACACAATTAGCCAGTCAGTCAGACAACCAGCACACCTTTCAGTCATTCAGTCAGTTAGGTAGCGAGCCAGTCAGTTAACCACCCATTCAGCCAGTTGGTCAGTCAGTTAGTCAGCGAGCTGGTAAGTTAGCCATCCACCCATTCAGCCAGTTAGCCAGCTATTCAGTCATTAATCAGCCAGCCAGCTACCAGTCAGCCAACCTGTCAATAAGTCAGCTATGCAGTCAGCCATTCAGTCAATCAGTCAGCTATTCAGTCAATCAGTCAGCTATTCAGTCTTTCAATCAATGCTCACCAGTTCTGTTTGCTGTACTCCACACCATGGTTGTCAAACATATGAAAGGTGTAGGCGTGCCTTGACTTTTCTGATTTGTTTGCTTCACTTTTGTGCACCACTTCACCATGGATCAAAGCCAGGGATCCTAGAAAACAAAGATTAGCCATGTCAGTTCTTTATTGTTTAAAGTATAGTGTAGGCCTCACTGTCTGAGTGTGGGATAATGTGAAACATTTTTAGAATTAACTCCCCTTATCAAAAGAGACAACAGAGAGAAACAACAACAGAGAGAAACAGCAGAGAGAAACAACAACAGAGAGAAACAACAACAGAGAAACAACAACAGAGAGAAACAAAAGAGAGAAACTACAACAGAGAGAAACAATAACAGAGAGAAACAACAACAGAGAGAAACAACAGAGAGAGAAACAACAGAGAGAGAAACAACAGCAGAGAAAAAACAACAATAGATCGAGACAAATAACAGAGAGAAAAAGAACAGAGAGAATCAACAACAGAGAGAAACAACAACTGAGAGAAACAACATTGAAAAACAACAACATATATAAACAACAACATATATAAACAACAGAGAAAAACAACAACAGGAAGAAATAACAGAAAGAAATAGCAAGTAGAATTTACAAGGAGAAACTACTAAGGAAAAATAACAAGTAAAAACAACAGGGAAAACAACAGGTAGAAACAAGAAGAAACAACTGGTAGAAACAAGAAAAAACAGCACCAACAAAGCACCTGCTTTCATCTCAGCTGGTATAAACAAGTTGTCATCATACTCCACACGTGGATGTGTGAAGGTGATGTCCTCCACACCAGTCCCTTCATCCACTGTCCTTATCATGTATCTTTCCTTATCAACACCATCTGAAAATTGGTGTTCATAAATTTAGTGTTCATAAATTGAACATAATGTTAAGATTCAGTGCAGAAAAATTTAGCTTTGATTAACAAATAAAATATCAGTTTTAAACTTTGTATAACTATGTTACATAAGCTCTAAATCTTTTTAGGGTTGTTATTTTTCAGGGTTGCTTATGTTTTAATTAAGGGTATTAATAAAGAATCCATCTTTGTAGGGAGATGATACATTGCTAAATGACCAAGATTTGTTTATTTTATTTATTCTATCAAGTATGTCCTTATATTTATATAGATATTATACCAAAGGTTGGCAGTCATTTGCATGTGTTACTTTGAACAAAAAAGTTTAAACAATGTATTCCACAAGATTTTAACTTTTATACAGAAATGATTTTAAACATTTTTGTGCATTTGTTAGAGCGAAAAACATGATGACAATGTGTTATTATTACAATATTCTTACTAATACAATTTTCTGATGAAGGTAATACTAAAGTCATGTTGTTCTGATTATAATTTTGCTATGATGATATAGTTTTTGATATGATAACAGTTGTGTTGTGATAACAATTATGTTAATTAAATCAGCAATGACTTGAACATTAAGATAAAATTTGCAAGTGCCTCTATCAGATACCCACTTTTATGAGAACCAGGAATGAACCACAGACAGCCATTGTCTTTCATGGCATCCTCCAGTGGGATCCAGACTCCTACAAGTCTTTTGGGGTTGGTGTTGAGGAAGGAAGAATCTTGGTGGGGCATCACTGTAAGTCAGTCAAAGAGTGTTTATTTTCATTTTTTTAATTGAGTTATGACTAGAGGCAGGCTTTCAGCCATCCCCAATCACTGTGTTCTTATCCCATACGACATCGGCCAGGCAAATCAAATTAAAACATTAAAATGTAGGCCTATATATAAATATATATATATATATATATATATATATATATATATATATATATATATATATTTTTACTAGAATAGGTCACAGAAACTTTTAAACTTTAATTCTCTTGCCAAAATGACCGTTACTATTTTTTACTAGAATATATGGTAAATACTAAAAAAGGAATGGATGGGAGAGGAGAAAACAAAGTCCACAGAGAAATAATGAATGAGGAAAGGATGAAGTATTTTATGTAGACTTTAAAAAAATAAACTTTGTAGAAAATAACTGTTTACTTATAAATAAGAATTTAAGACAGTCTATGATGTGTTTTTAACTAATTTACATGAACATAAAATATTAACTTAACATAATAATATTCAATAAATATTCAGTTAACTTAACTTACCAACACCTCCAATTTTGGGTTGCTAAAACAACAAATAATTAGCAATTAGTTAGCTTTCAATCATTCATTTTAAATTTGATATACAATTCAAATCTCAATTAATATAGCTTAAGTAGAAGTGTTGGTAACAGTCACTCTCAGATAGCTAAGTAAGAATATAAACACTACACAGAGAGATATATTCAACAATGCATATTTTTAAAAAAGATTACCTTGAAGATATACATACTGTGGCAAATGACCGAGCCAGAATTTATTCGTTACACAGTGAGTGATATTCAACAATAAATTATGAACAAAAGCTTACCTTGAAGATATACATGCTCTGGCAAATAACCGGGTCTACAAACCCAATTGCTTTTGCGATGGCCTGCGGACAAAACATAAAAACTGTTACAGTAATTAAAGTTTTCTTTAATTCCTGCGAGTATAGTGGTTAGAGTCAGGTTTAGTGTTAACGCTGTGGTAAAAGAAAAACATTTTTTATGAACCTAACAGCCATCCCAAAACTAAAAACTGCCATGCTAATAAATTATTCAAATCCCACAAACTATACCTAAAACATACCTCTGTATTTAACACCCTAACCCACAAACACTAACAAAAACAAGTAGACCAACAAAACCAAAGAACACTGACACTGTGACACTATATAGAAATAAAATTTCACCTTCATTCTCTCACTCTGAGAGATTTCTGCAAATACTGGATCCAAGCAATGCAGGGCTGGGGAAAACAATGCAGTGACTTGAAACATAATCTTCTTCATCTTTGTTCTTAATTTTAGTGTTGGAAGGGATCCCCCCCCCCCCCTCCAACAGAATTAAGTAATAGTATCAACTGGTTATGCGCCGATGAAGCCATTGACTCTGATTTCAGCCTGCTATTCTTTTTGGATTTGCTTCCATAGCCTTTGTCCAACCAAGAACAAACTACAAGGCAGCAGTTGTTTGATTTTGGAGTTGTCCCCAGCTAACGAGCCTTATCTGCCCGAGGGTTCGAACTCGAGACTTTTCTGGTTTAGCAAACCTGATCTTTACCAACTAGACTCCACTTTAAACATAATCAAAATTAAGTTTTTCATTTTACATTACATTCTGTGAAAAATGTAAACATAATCATATACATTTGTTAGTATGTACTTGAAATTATTAAATTTGTCTTTTTAAATACTCACCATGACCAATTTTATTCACTGATAACTGTTTATCAACTTGTAGGTTGCCTGGAGATTTAGATATCAAATGTTAGAATAAAATTTAAATATTTTTAAGGTTACATTAGAAAAGGTACAGAAATTTTTAATTTTTCACAAATCATACTAGGTGAAGCGAACTACTACTGACATGGAAGTCTCAAGTTAAGCTGTGGAATGTACTGAAGAGTAAAACGATCTCTGTTTTGGATGTTTTGAAAGCCAAAGTGATGCCAGAACTAGGACTTTCAAATCCTTATTAAATTATGTCTGATTAGTTATCCCATAGCTTTCAAAGAGATGCTCCACAATTTGGAACTAGACTACCCTTTGACAAAGGCCATGTGTCACTTACCCATTTCCAAAAGGAACTGGAAAATTGCAATATTTATATACAAGTGTTATTGAGTGGATTTTATAAGCAAATGAGGAGAACTTGTTTGCATCCTTAAATTAATCTTCCATGTATATCTCTATGGTACAAACATAAAATAACCAATTCCTTACTTTATCAGGGTTTACAATTTTATAAAATACGAGCCGACCCACGGCGTATCATACGCCGCCGCCGCTATTTAGTTGTTTTATTGTCTTCTTTTCAGTAATTCATACTTTGTGAATTCGACAATACCACTGCTGTAACTGAAAATATTTGCTTTAAAACACTATCAGTAAGTCGTTAAGGATGATAACCGCCCCCCCTCCTTTCCCCCAACCCCTAACATCCCTTGTGGAAGCAGCCTCCTCTTAGCTACCTCCCCTAAGTTTAAAATCGTTTCAAACTAAATTATCTGCCCCTAATAGCCGTCACTAAACCCGGCTCTATGATTGTAAACATTTAGCGTGAACCACAGCTCATCAGACTTCCTAGAGAGGAAGAGAGGGGACTGCAAGACGCGCTTACAGCTTGTTTTCTAACGTCTCCAAGAAGAGAATTTTATATATATATATATATATATATATATATATATATATTTATATATATATATATTTATATATATATATATATATATATATATATATATATATATATATATATATATATATATATATATATATATATATATATATATATATATATAGATTGTAGATTGTAGATTGTTCTGTGCTTTCATGTTTCTGAAAATTTAATTTTTGTTCTAGGTAAATATGGATGCTTAAAAGTGGGATAAATACAATTGAGGGGAGTGGGGGCAGATGTACACTGGCTGATAAAACAAACACTGATATAAAATACCTTCAGCATCAATAGCTTCCTCCTCAAAGAAAAATGAAATCCTATCTCCACTGTTTAAAAAGTAATCATTTTTGGTCTGAAATAAGTACAAGATAATAGAAACAGATGAAAACATGATAAATTAATCAAATTGGTACAACTTAGAATAGGTAAGACTTATCCACATTATTGCCTTACAGTAAACCATATGGTTATTTGCAATGTTGAATTGACATAATGCAAATATAAGTGAATTATATTAAAAAACTTGTATTACAAAATTGTATAAAAAATAAATGGAATAGTATTTTTTTTTATAACTGGTCCTGGAAATAACCAGCATATTCTAGTAGGCACATCAGATATTTTGGATTTTCTGGTAATAATTCAAATTTTTAAATGTTTAAATATAAGATTCTAAGGGTTTAGGTCCAGGCTTGATTTAGGATAGTAAAAAAAGTAAAAGTAAAGTTTTCCCTTTCAAACCTGACGGTCTATGGGGCAAGTGAAGTAGAGTTCACTTGTTTCTGTGACCTCGGCGTATGAAGAGATAGTGTGGTCAGCACTATGCCCAGCCGCCTTTACTTTCCCTAACGTGAGTTAGGTACCCATCAGAGTTGGGTGGACTCAGGGACGGTCTACTGACTTGAACCCGGATTCGAACTCGAGACTTACGGGTTAGCAGTCCAGCTCTCTACCGCTAGACCACTCCGTCCCTATTTAGGATAGTGATGGCGGATTAACATCTAAGTTTTGAAATGCCAACTTCTTTTTCTTCGTTCTTAATTTTTAGTGTTGGGAGGGATCGAGCCTTATCTGCCAGAGGGTTTGAACTCGAGACTTTTTGAATTTATCAACTATGAGCTTTTTTTTTTTCTGACTCGACTATTCTTCCATCACAATTAAGGATTACATGTCAACTTGTTGTGCGCCATTGAGGCCATTGACTCCAATTTCAGCCTTTGTCCAACCAAGAACAAACTACAAGGCAGCAGTTGTTTGATTTTGGAGTTGTCTCTCCTAGAAGAGTAGCTGTCCCGAGCTAACGAGCCTCATCTGCCCGAGGGTTCGAACTCGAGACTTTTCAGTTTAGCAACCATGAGCTTTACCAACTCAACCAGTCCGACCCCCAAATGCCAACAAAAGCATTGCTTTTTAAAATTGATTCCACCCAGCTCTGATGGAGGTCTGACTCACTTGAGACAAAGTAAAAAAAAACGGTGGGTCTAGTCCTAAGGCTTACTAAACATACACTTTATATGCTGAGGATGCTGAGGTCGAGAAACATATGAACTCTACTTCATCTCCCCATTGATTGCTAGGTCTTAAAAACAGCTTCACTTAATAATTAAGGTAATTAAAAAATAACCTAGCATTGAAATGCAATCGCTTCTCTGCCACCCCCCCCCCCCTCCCCCGGTTAATCTGGTTCGCAGATACAAATATAGGAAAAATGCTTTTTTGATGGTGTAACTCTGCATTTACACTTGCAAAATGTATACTATACATATATAAAAAAAAAATCACAACAAGTAAAATGGAAAAATGTTTTTATGTAACATTAACTTGCTTAGAGTTTTTTCTTTTCTAGACATATACAATACATTATACATGTCACAAGTGTTAATGTGATGTACATGTTGCAAGTGTGAATGTGGTGTGCATCAACTAGTCTACCTGATTTGTGGTTGAAAACACAGTTTGATGTTCTCTGGGGTTGACAGCTGAAACAATCTCATGCATGTGACTTTTCAGTTTCTTTATCTCCTCTTCACTTAGAAAGTTTTCAATAACAGCATAGCCATCTTCCCAGAGCTAATAAGGAGAACCATTTAGAAAAGCATTACATTTATAACATTTAAAACAACAACAGGAACAAGGCCTCTATCTATTTCTAGATCTATTCTAGATCTAGATATCTAGATCTGTTCGTCATAAAAGTTTTAAGTCACTCAGTCTCTTTTTTAGTAGAGTTCAGACTCAGAGTGTGTGTGAGTGTGACTTAGCCTACTACTACTTACTTTGTTTATGTGCTTAGAATAATCCATTAAATCGAATTGTATTCAGTTATGATGCTAGATTTATATAGACTTAGATCTAGATTCTACTTTTGATAGAAGTTAGGGCTTAAGTTTAGAATTTAACTAGATCTAGATCTCGATAAGAACTTTAAGTGAAATGAATCCAATATTTCAGTTCTCAGAGTTCAAAGGTTGCATTGCAGACAAATATTTTGTGAATACTCTCCCTTGCATTGTAGGCCTAAATGTATTTTTAAATGGGCTAAATCGATTAGTGCAGGGGTCTCCAAACTTTTCAGGGCCGCATTAACTATCAAAAATCAGTTCGAGGGCCAGAGTTTCTTCCAGGCATCTCTTCGGAGGGGGGGGGGGGGCTAATTTTACTGGTGCCCGACCCCCCCCCCCCGGAAAATGTTGACCGCCCCCTCCCCGAAAATATCAAGTGCCCCCTCCCCCCGGAGAAAAAAGTCTGGAACAAACACTGGGTTCTTCCAGGTATCCCTTCCCACCCCCCTCATCCCCCTCTTAGAACGTCTGCTACCCCCCCCCCCCTCTCACCAACGAAATATAATTTAAATAGAAATTATATATATGTATATATATATAATAATATATATACATATATATATATATATATATATATATATATATATATATATATATATATATATATATATATATATATATATATATATATATATATATATATATATATATATATATATATATATATATATATATATATATATATATACATAATAGGGGGGCCCCGAAAAAAATGCGGGGGGGGGGGCGTTTTAATAAATATTGTCTACTTTAGGGCGCTAAATAACCTGGCGCCGGCATTGAAACTATATATAGCTATTTTTATGTCTCACTCAATGAATAATTATTTTATATAAGTGTTTTTGATTGGGTACCATAATAAATTGTTATTTCATGCAATTGTAAAATTATTTATAAAATAAAATGTTGTACAAATAAAATGTCGTCCCATATTTAGCCATTACATGTTTTTAGTGTGGTTGTGTTGTATCCAACAAATCGTAGCGAGTTTAGTTCCTCGTAGAAAATTCCTGTGCCAATGGCTTAGCCAGTGAATTGGATGGGGGTGGGAATGGGAGTGGGTCACTTTGAAAATTTAAAATAGTTACATTATAGCAGTGATTTCACCAATTGAAAAAAAAAACTTCAAGTACACGCTACTATTTTAGACGTCTAAACAGACTAACTCGGCTCACTGATTACTGTCCATTTTTTAAACAATTATTTTGAAATATAAACACGATGATGTACCGCGTTTATATGACTTTGTTCTAAAACTACGAAGTTTATTTTAGTCAACAAAATGTGTGTAACACCAGACAGATGTTTTATAGACGTGTAAGCACTTGGCGGCCCCACACTGCATAAAAAACCTAGCTACGCCTCTGTTCGGAGTACTACTAGATCTGAATTATTAAAGAGTATCACGATGTGGTATTAACCCTTTATCTACTGACGGTACTTATAAGTACCACTTTAATTAAATGCCTGTATTATTTTTAATTTAATACGAATTTTAAAAATTATTGAAGTAATTAATAGTATTATCTCCCCTGAGTCGCCGGTTGTCGGAGGTATCAATGTTTTTTGAAAATTACTGGTGTGGCGCAATTTTTAATGTCTTGCTATATCGGTAGTTCACATTTTTTCTGTACATTTCTCACATACGTTCTTGATTTCCCTTTGTTTTACCTTATTTTTCAAGTTTTCAACCCCAAATATTTTTTATTGGCAACTTGAATAGTCAGGTAAACGCATTTAACTTCTAGTTATACAATTTTAATCAAATTGTCTTTGTATTAGATCGATGTTTACAAGTGGACTTATAAGTACCGTCAGGGCACACGGTCATTTTTTTAGGATTTTTAGAAAATGGCAGATTTTTTATGTTGAGTTACATAAATATTGTCTTGATAATTAATTATCGAAATGTACTCAAAAAATGATATTTACACATTTATAAGAAGGTTTGCATATGGTTTACCTAAGAAATATTGTAATTACATGTTAATTTCTAGTAATAAAAAAAATAACAAGAATAAAGGTATCAGTTGCAGGCTCGTTTACAAGGTTTAGTTTACTTCATTTGTATACCAAAGCCTAGTTCTAGTTGTAAGATTTAATTTGTTAGTTATATTTACTGCAATAAACTGTCTTGCCTACAACAACTAGCATTTACGTAATGTATACATATAGGCTAGTAATAGTCCATACTTCTGCATAAAGTATTGATCTATAAGTTAAATTTTAATCAGTAAACAGAAAGGAGTAGGCCACTACGGCTATCCTAAACACATTGAGCTCACTTCTATTTATGAACTTCGCACTGTAGTGTAGACTTGTCATAACATTCTAGTAGGCTACAATTATACTAGTATTATTATTACTTGTAGTTGCGTGCTGAATGACTAGGCTTTTGTTTGTTAATGCGGCTCATTGTACTAGCTATTGGAAGCTTCCAGCAAAATCATGTTCATTCCGGCAACCGTTGCTACACCAGAAAGACCACAGACAAGATTGAGGGAGCATGACATGTCGACTACTTTTGCTGTGTTTGAGGTCTAAGATGTGTTCCGATAGAAAATCCAGTAAAAATCGTACTCAAAATATTCTTTTGTGCTGTATTTATGTGTGAAAATTACAAAAAGTGATTGTTATAATGATTGCCATGTTATTAGTTAATAAATTGTATCGTTTGTTCCTGTTTTGTAAAAAAAAAAATTTGAAAAAAAAATGTCCTAGTTTACTGACGGTACTTATAAGTACCAATATCTGTTTGGGCCATTAAAAATTTATGAAACGAAATTTCCTTCGATATATGCTTTAAATGTACCAAAAGCAATATAGTAACACATTGTTTAAGTAAAAATCTCATTCAGAACATAATTCCGTAAATAAAGGGTTAATAGCGCAATGCCAGTAATACGGCATCGATTGTTATGGTAACTTAGTTTAAGGTAGTTGTGTTTTTGTTGTTACCTATGTACCCCCTGTCCCCCCATCGCTACGCCTCTGTCCTTCACACACACACGCACACACACACACACACACACACGCGTAAAAATTAAAAAAAAAACATTTCCTAGTTGTTCCTCTTTTGTAATAACCAAATCAGATAAGATTATTACAATTTTTAAAATATTTTTTTATTAACACTGGTTGATAAATAAAAAAAAAAGGTAATACATTTTTAGCTTGAATACCATATTATATATACTGTAAAGATCCAGTAATAGGCTGCAGAACCACGTAATTATGTTTTAATAAAAACAAATTAAAAATAAATCTATAAATCTTCTTGTTTTACGGTTAAGAAAAGATTTTTGTACAACTGGGTGTCCGTCTCACAAAATTAATAAACGGAATAAATATTTTAGAAAGTTGAATTTTTTTTCACGGAGAAATACCACAAGCTCAAGTAGTTTTCACTATTTTATTATAGCATATAAATTATAAAAAACATGCGCGTAAAATTAGTATCATATTTAATTTATTTTACCTCAATAAATATTTAACATATAAAACATGTTATTTTTTTTAATTTATTAACATAACACCTATCACAGTTATTGAGAGATTAATAGATTATCCAATAATTTTTGTTTTAAATTTGCGAACAAATCACAGTTAGAGAGAGATGACAATATTACCACTGCACTACATAACAAATGTAAAGCGGCGTCTCCTTCAGCTTCAAGTCATTCAGTTTCTTATAGTCCTCATCAGTGGCGTAGCGAGGTCGGGTATCACCCGGTGCGGCACTTAATGGTGTCACCCCCCCCCCCCCCCAAGGGCGTAGCGACTCTTCCCGGGGACAAACTTTCAATTTTCGATTTTTTTTACTATTCTTTGCCTTGGTGTCACTCCCCTAAGTGGTGTCACCCGGTGCGGTCCGCACCCCCCGCCCCCCCACCCCCCTTCGCTACGCCTCTGGTCCTCATACATAGACCCAGACGTCAAAGTTCTTTAATTGCATACTATTTGGCATAGTTAAACAAGACAAGGTTGTACGTGTACATGTGTACAATCAGTATTTTACGTAGGGTTAACCAGTGCTCAATTGTCTTATACTTAAAGGTACTGTTTTATTTCCAGACTGTATACTCCGAGGGGGGGGGGGGCACTTGAAACTTTCGGGGGGGAGAGGCGGAATAATTTTTCCAGGGGGTGGGTGTGATGACGCAAGGTTACGCCGGAGAGGTCAGGTAGATAGCAGAAACAGACTATAGCGAGTTGGTCAGAGAGAGACTAATAGAGTCCTTTCATATGACGTCACGTCCGTTCGTGATACCTACGTCCGCCGCCACGGTGGTGTACACCAGACTTAAACACAATCAGCTGTTCAACAGCGCTGGACGCGTTCACTGTATGTAAAGAACCGCACCCGTGGAAAAGGAAAAATACGTTAAAAAACTAGAAACTCTTAGGAATTGAAGATCCTTATACTGTTATTGACAGTTTCGTAGATAATATAAATATGTGGCCAAAATTTCTAAATAAAAATACTGTTAATCAGTGTTAGTAATACTGTTTGCGTTTAGAATTTAAGTACGGGAACTGACCGGTCACGTGGGACGGTCAGCTGACCACTGAGGCGTGGGTCAGTAGAGAGATAGGCCAGGAGTTGATAGGTAGCTAGCGAAGAGTAGAGAAGGTGTTAGGAAGCGGTCAGAGACGGTCGAGATATGTAGGGCTAGGTAACAGTTGATAATTAGTGAAGAGAGCGGTCAGATAGGTAGATCTAGGAAACGGCAGACAGTAGTAGTAGTAGAGAGTATAGAATAGGCTAGTTAGTTAGGTAGAACTTGATTTTATAATTTCAATAAAGAACATTTTATATTTTAACATGAACTTGTGTTATTGGATTCGTTCCGCCTCTTAAAAATCCCCACCCTCACAGTGGGGGAGGGCGGTAAAAGAATATATCTATATAAATTCTATATCTTGTGGAGGGGGGGGGAGGCGTCCTCCCCCCACCTCCTCGAAACTCAACTCTGCATACAGGAAAGAACAAAGTTCATTTAAGTATGAGGTTTTGTGTTGAGTTAAAAGTACACGAGGTAGATTAGTCTCTCGTTCCTGTGTTATATGTTTGTCCCCTGTTTGCGGGGGCAGTTTAATAGTTGCATTTTGATTACTTTGA